GTGGATATGCGTAGGTGTGTGTGTGTGTGTGTCTGCCTCTCTGTCGGGCTATCTTCCATGGCATAGCGTGCCAGTCTATGATGCCCACATTTATGTGAGTGGTATGTCTGACCCAGTAAGGATTTACCAGAGGCCTTATGGAGGACTAATGCAGAGAGACTGATGCACATACACACACACACACACACACGGGGGTTTGTCCCACGCTTGTCGAGACATGTTTCTAACATTTATTTACTTAGCAGATGCTAACACTTTGCGGATGCGAACACATTAGACATGTGTTCATTGTTCTAGCTGAACCGGACTGACAAAAGGACAAATCAGTTTTGCAAAAATGAGTCAAAGCTTTGCAGGAATAGCTCGACATTTTGTGGGGGAAAAACTCACTTTCATGCCGAGAGTGAGATGAAAGGAACGATACCACTCTCGTGGCTCTACGCTAAATATGAAGCTACGGCCAACAGCTTGTTGAGCTTAGCATAAAGGCTGGAAACAGGTGAGAACAGCTAACCTGGCTCCGTCCAAAGGTATAAAAGTCCCCCTATTAGAAACCCAAAAGCTCACTTATAAACACATTTTATTCAATATTAACGAAGCTAAGTTAGTCAGCTATGCCACACAGTAAAACAGCAGAAATAGCACATTCCTTGGCAGTCTTGCTTATGTCATTCTGGTTTAAATCTTGACAGAGTAAAGTAAAACTAAATTTAAACATTAAAAATGAATGTGTGAATCATCGCACGAGTGAAATTTATGTTTTCCGTTTGTGTAAATGTAATGATTTGGTCATATTTGTCTTTCTATTCTCTGCAAGTTAACGTGACATGTAAGTCATGTGGTTGACGCTGTCACCCTGCGTGACTCAAACTAAGTGAGCAGTTAGAGGTTTGGTCGTCTTGCTCCGGGGCACTTCGGTTAAATTAAGGTTTCATGGAATTATAAACTGTGACCATATCGGTCACCGTGCCACAGCCACATGTTAGCCGACCGTGCTAGAGTACTTTGTTTTTTTCCCCGCTGACTGCAGAAGTTTCTGATTCCTAACGATGTTTTTTTTCAACCTTTTGTTCCAGGGGTCGTGTGTTTTCCCTAGACTTCGGGGCGATGCGAGTGTGTGACCTGGAATTCGACCGCGTCCGACGACTGACAACTCCCGCCAGCCCTCTACCCATGCCCACAACGAACCTAAACCCCACCCCCAGCTGTCACACGGTGTGGAAGTACTACTGCAGAGACAACTTTGGCTGGAGGGAATACTCCGAGGTGAGCCACTCAGTGCAGTTATGCATGCGTGTTTGTCTGCGTGTACGCTCCATTAACATGAGGCCAGACGCACTAACTTTGCCCACACCGATTGGTCGTCTAGCCACTGTGATGGGATCAATTGAGACACGCATACACACGCATATATACACACACACACACACACCTAAACACCCCTTGTGACACAGCTCTTCCCCCAGCAGTTTATTTCACCAAATCAGTAAAGATTGACTGTTTTTCTATCTGTGCGTCACTGTTTTGTGTTTCATGATGATGTCGTTATTAGCTCCGCTTTCTGTTATCTGAACATTGTACCACACTTCACTGACATTTCCCTCTCCAGACTCCCTCTTTCCACAGTTAAATGAAAATGCAGAACAGTCAACTGTATAAAACGATAAATGATTGAGTCTAATCACATCTTTCTCTCCCTCTTCCTTCTCCACTTTCCTTCTTCCTCTTCTGCTACTCAGCCGGTGGTCAAGCTCATAGAGGAGGCCAGTTCGAGGGGTCTTAAGGAGGTGCGATTCATTACGCTCCAGAACCAGTATATCCTCAACATCAGGGAGGGCTTCCAGCAGAATGCCGTCTTCGGGTTCAGGCGTCAGATCAAGAAGCGGCCCACGTTCATGTCCTCTGTGATGCTTACACCCCTCCTACAGTAAGTAAAGACATTTAACACTTGTCACCATCCCCGCTGCTCTTAACTTACGGATTTACGGACATGTAGAGGTCCTGCCTGGACATGACCAATCCAGAGTTGTTTGTTTAGCCATAATGGTGCGGCTATACGGATCACGTCGTCGGACTGCCTGTCGGCCCGCCTGTCGGCCCACTCATCAAAAGTTTGTGGAGACATTTATGTCCCCCTCAGCGTGCATTGTAATACAATTTGGTCTTCATTTGGCTTCTTTAAATGTCTTCAATACTAATTCAAATACCTGCCAGACTAATGACATTCCCATCAGCCTCAGCTTTACTGTACTGTACAGCTGTATATTGCGCTAATTAGCATAGTTAGCATGCTAATGCGCTACACTAAGATGGTGAACGTGCTAAACGTTATACCTGTTAAACTTTACAATGCTACCATTGTCATTGTGAGCTGACATTAGGCTGTAGTTTTCTGCCAATCATCTCATTGAATAAAGGACGAGCGGACCAACAAGCTCATTTTCAAACATGTTTGTTGTTGATGATGTGGGCGCTATTTAGATGCAAAAGAGTATTGTTTCTGAGACGTCTCTTAACCCCCGTGAAGGATTGCAAAATATTCTGATAAATATCAGGGTTTAGCGGCTAGTTAAAAGCAAATGTCAGGAACAGTCGGTCCTCAGTTGATCGTTTAGTTCTCACATCTCAACCTTGTCAGGGAACATTTCGTATTTTGGATAGAAAGCAACATTTAGTATACGAACAAAGTCCTCCATTTTCTGTTAAGTTCCTGGCAACATGTGAACATTAACACACACGCACAAAGTTGACTCTTCAATATGTGATACACTGTCTTCCTGTGGCTCTATGTGTTCTGTTTGGAGACAGACGAGCACACAGAGGTCGGTACACAGTGCTAATGTTACACTTGGGGCTGAATACTCAAAATCCTCTGAACCACATTCACCTTTAATCCGTTCCAATACTGTTGCACATTGCTCGCCTGAGCCGCACTTAAAACCCATGTTAACGCTTGAGTTTTGGCAAAATCAATCCGAGTTACCGGGACACAGTAGCTGACCAGAGCAGAATGAAGACAACAAGACAAACGGATAATAGACAACGAGGCAAACGAGAACATATGAGGCAGAGTGTGGGGAGCGGACAGATAAAGAAATTAATTTTAATTGGTCTTTGATCTTTTTTGTCTGATCGTTAGTGAGGAAATCTCTAAATGAGATGAGATCTGTTCACTTTCTTCTCGAGGGAACAAGCAGATTTCAGGAGTCTTCATCTTTCAGCTGCTATTTTCTCTGCTGCACTCGCCTCAATGATATTCCTGAAACAAGTGATACCAGATTGGAAACAAGTGGAGTCATCTCACCCCATTTGCGGAATGTTTCACTTCCGTCTTGCCAGTGTCCCGGACAGAGCGAACGCCAGTACGAGCTGTTCCTGAATGGCCTCGACAGTCAAGAGGAGACGAGATGGAGCGCATGAGATGGAGGAAAGAGGGAGGAAATTAGATGGAGGAAGCGGAGGACAGAGGGAATGAGGGGCGAGAGAGAGGTGGCGAGAGAGATAGAGAGCACAGTGAGAGGAAGTGAGAGCAGTCTAAATGGTTTCCAGACTGGTTGCACAGCAGAGCAGAGTGAAAAGAGTGTGAAATGTGACTGTGGGCAGCAGGAATCTTTAGGATCGAGGGATTTGTTCCTGGGACTTTTTCATCCGGTTGTTGGTGTGTGTGTGTGTGTGTGTGTGTGTGTGTGTGTGTGTG